CGACCGAGCTATCGTTGGCTTTCAATTTTTATTCAGTAGTAATACCCCGAGTGCTTCAAAATTATCGGGTATTTCCCGATAACTTCGTTGTAAACAAACAAAAGTGTCAAGTTTTGCAGGAAAATCTCTCGCGCAAGCGCTCGGGATTTTTAAACCTGCAAAACTTGACATTTTTGGTTGTTTACAACGAAGTTATTGGGAAATACCCGATAATTTTGAAGCACTCGGGGTATTACTACTGAATAAAAATTGAAAGCCAACGATAGCTCGGTCGGTAGGGCGAGCGATTTTTAATCCGATGATTCGGGTTCGAAACCCAATGGGTGCCGATCGGGTTTCTAACTCCGAGAAATCAAACGTTATCCGCATTTCTTTGGGAAATGACCTTGGGATTTCTGTACACAAACATTGAACAATGGATACAAAAAATGGGAGCGCAATGACATCAAAGGTTCCGAGTGGGGATGAGAATAAACAATCGATTTCTCGGAATTCAGTTTCCATAGGAGCCATAGAGTTGCCTTAATAATAACCGTTTGATTAGTCCTCATCACACATTTCAGTGTTGAGAATCTCACACATTCTCCTGTATTTATCCTCCATCAACTTTCATCAAGGTAAGTGATGGTATAAAATATTTCAGTAGTGAAGTTGTAAACTCAAGCGATCGTTATTATTATTTTTTCCCCTTTTTTTGAATGATCAGAAGTGTTCTTCATTCCTATTCCACAAGATGTCCCATGCCGAAAGATGTGCAAATCCAATGCGAGTTTCTGGGGAGAAAGGTCACAATGGAAAAGACCTGCGTTCAATCTCAGAAAGACTACGACAGACATTTCCATTCTTGCCAGAAAATGCAAAACTATGTAGCTCCTGTAGGAAAAGAGCTTTGACTTACATTCCTGGATCACTACCCTCCGAATCTTCATCGAATCGGAAAATCTCTTCATCGTCATCAAATGTTCCAGCCGATCGTTCGTCCAGTGCCACACCATTTCTAGTAGACATTTCTACGAGCATTATCGCAGGGCGTGTTTTCAGATCAAGTAATTCATTCCATTCAATTGATCCTTGGGGATATGATTTTCAACGATGCTTCAGAGGAGTACGATGCTCCAACAGCAGATGATAATTCAGAGACAGAGCACCACAAGAACATTCCAGCAAATTTTCATTCTCCATGAGAATTGGAATTGGAAGAAATGTTGGATGGACTCAAGCAAAAATTCAATACGATGACAGAATATACTGAACGGATTCAACTCTTGACTATCCACTCTTGACTCTTGTCCACCTTCATGTAGTGGGCGAAAGGTGAGCCGTGAATTTGGTACGACAAGGTACATGGCTATGAGAGCAAAACAATTGCGAGAACAGAGAGGAATATTTGTTTCAACAGTTGCGAAGGCTGGAAAATCATTGCCTAAAGAGACAGATGAAAAGGTCCGGAGTTTTTATGAAAGTAATAGTCGGATGATGCAGGGGATGAAGGATAAAATGGCAGTCAGAATCAACGACGTGAAGAAAATAATGCAGAAGCGGATGGTCCTCGAGAACTTAAATGATCTTCATGAGAAATATAAAATTGCTCATCCAGAGTCTCCGGTGGGATTCAGCAAGTTTGCGGAATTGAGGCCGAAACACTGTGTATTGGCAGGAGCGAGTGGTACGCACGTGGTATGTGTCTGGACCTATCATCAAAATTGTAAGCTGATGTTGGATGCAATCAACATTTCTACTCTCACTAAAAACTCATCATGTCCCCTTACCGACTATAAACTGTCTTGCAAGACTCATGTACCCTAATCCAATGCCTGAATGCCATTTAGATGAGTGTAAAAACTGTCCTGGAGTTGAAGGATTATTGCTCGAGCTGAAAGAACTCCTCCACGATGCTGTGATTGAAACTGTAGAATTCAGGACTTGGCAATCTGTGGAAAGAACAACATTACAGACCCAGAGACTTCCAGTGTATGAATTTGTTGATGTACTTTGTGAGAGATTGAAAGTATTGAAATCTCATCATTTTATTGCTATACAACAAAACGCTTTCGTGAAAGAACGAAAGGCGAATTTAATTGAGGGTGAAATTCTAGTGTAGGCCGATTTTTCGGTGAATTATTCTTTCGTAGCTCAAGACGCTGCTCAATCGTTCCATTACAACAATGATCAATGCACTGTCCATCCTGTGTTGTATTATTATCGCCACGGCAATGATATTCGACATAGAAGTCTAGTCCTCTTATCTGGCAGTCTCGTTCACGATACTACTGCAGTTCATTTAATGCAACAGATTCTGATACGACACATAAAACAAGTCTGTGCTGTCGTAAACAAATTGATCTATGTTACAGATGGTGCTGGACAGCACTATAAGAATCAATATAACATGGCTGATCTTTTGTTGCATAAAAATGGTTTTGGAGTTGAAGCAGAGGCGCACTATCATGCGACCGCGCATGGAAAGACGGCATGCGATGGCGTAGGCACAGTCTTGAAGAGGGAAGTGTAATCTCCAAAATTTTGTACTGGAAACTTTAAGGCTAGAATAATTTTATGTGAAATCATTAAGAACCAAACCAACAATTGTAAACTAAACTGAGTGCATTTCATGACTTGAACTCGATTAAAAATTCCAAAGACATTGGAATCGAGTTCAAAAGTGATGAAGTGGCACACTCAGCATGCCCCAATTACCCAATACTAAGATTCGCACGGGAAGGAACGATTGAAAACCGATTAATTGAAACCCCAAAAACCGAATGAACTACTTGCCCATAAAAATCAAAAGAGGGGAAAAGTCATACTTCTTCCACCAATTAAAAATGGACTCGTTGGAGCCCATGTGACAAGTGACCCCAAAATTCATATAAAAATGTCAGAAAAAACAAAGTTAAGCAGTCTTGAAGCAGCGACGGAACAGTAACAATTCTGGTGGAAATAGTTCATTTAATCGGTCCGGTTTTTCAATCCTTCCTTCGATTACGCAGGATAGTACTGAATTAATAGTAAGTTACGAACCATTGAAATTATCCGGGAATAAAATTTCTTTAATCGAGAGTGGTGACTTTTCTTACAAATAAGGAATTCGTTCATTGTGACGCGTTGTGGACAGTCTCAAACAAACTATTAAAATCTTAAAATTCAACTGTCAAAGTTCATTGAAATATCAATGAGTAGAAGAAAGTGTTTCCATGGAAGTATCCATAATAGCCTTTAACACGACTAATTGCTGGTGAGGAAATTACCGATTTACCCAGGGATCTACAAACACATCGAATAATTTATAAATAACAGACCGAATTGTGAGTAACAACATTCGTAAACCCAAATTTGAATCCTTCAGATCATTCCAGGGATAGGAATTTTAACTACATAGATTTCTGTAAAATCACGCTTATGTTTTTGTAAACCGAATAGTTATACAAAATATATTTAAATTCCAATTTGATTCCCATTACAACTCCAAATTTCTTGATTAGTAATTAATCTCAACTCAAGCCCTATCCCTAAATCAAACTCTTTTCCTTTATATTTTAGAAAAAGGTAAGATTATAAAACTTTGCGTCGTCCAATAATTATAAAATCTAATAATTTTAGCTTTGATTTTAATGTGACAATTAAAACATGTCCTTTCGACGCTAAAATCTTTCTCCGGACACAACAGAAGCAAATAGTGTTTCCCGATACCCAAAAAAATATCGATACTCAGTATCGTATCGAA